ACACACACACACACGTACACACACACGTACACACACACGTACACACACACACACAGCTCAGCGAACATCTACTAATAATGTCTATTGTATATGCACACATTTACATCAGAGTCAGAATACACTGATAACACGGACACGTGTGTGTGTGTGTGTAAACCTACCGCCTCTCTTCTCAGCTGGATGAAGAACTGTTTGCACTTGAAGGAGATTTTCACTATTTTTAACCTGGAAGCAGGGAAAGGGAAAAAGAAAAATCAAAAAGAAAGTTAGTGTTTCCACAGTTGGTGAGAAGATCATCTGTAAGGACAGAGAAGCTCAATCTTTACACCAAAGTAAATGTAACAAAACGGAAATGGAAAAGGCAACATGTGCTGATGTGATGGAATCGAGCAATGTCAAAGCTAGTTTCAGTTATTGCTCTTATTTTAAACCTGTGGCAATACGATGATCACTGATGATTTTTACTCCTGTAAGCTGTCGACAATCACTAAACACTTCTTTAGCAAAGCACAAAATAAATAAATGATGTTGCCACATAACCTAAATAAGGAAGAAAACAAAAGAAATACTGTGTTATTTACAGCAAAACATGCAGTTATCACTTCTTTCACTTAAAACAGCGTTATGGTCGAGAATCAACTTTTTTCACTCTGCCTTACATTATGATATAAATATTCTACATGGGTCTATCACCAATAAGCTGCATGATGTGATATACCTTACACTGACTGAAATGTGAAAATGCATTTTGATTTTTCTGGATATTATATTTTTATTGATTTCATGACGATGTTAAAAACATTTTAAAGAGAGTTTAATTATGACAAAAGCTCTGATTGGCTGAAACATGCAGAAATAAAAAAAGAATAATTGGGGACAACACAAAACTTAACTTGAACCCCTGAAATAAAAAAGAGATCTGGACAATTATTCAGAACACCGGATCCAAATGCAGATATTTAGTAACTTTGGAAACTTCTGAATTAAGTATGTAAATGAAGGTTCCTGGAGAGTGTGAGCAATTTATGGCTGCACAGCATCAACTTGTTATGACTGACACTCTGGCATAGCCATTGTCTTTGAAAGGTTAAAATATAAACCACAATATTCTATGTTTTGTCATTTAGAACTTCAATCTCAGCCACACTCGCTCGGTCACACTCGCTCCAGTCCACCAAACAGCAGCACATACGAGTTTACACATTCATAACTGGAGATGTAGATACAAGCACATCAGCCCAGAAACATCTCTTCCTGGAATCTATGACTAGAAGAGAAAAGCACACTTCTGAATGAATCATGTGACCCCTCCCTCCCTCCCTCCCTCCCTCGCTGGAGGGTATCGGTTGGAGCACTGGAGTGTCACAGTTTTTCAGCGATACCTGCATCTTGCTATCTATCAGTGTGTTATCATGTGTCTAGCAGAAACACTATGACATAATGTTAGAATCTGGAGACTGCACACTGCAGTAAGAGGTCTGCCCATGAGCAGCTGAGAAACGTAATCCTTTCTAAGAGCTCTGTTGCTGCTGCGACTCTTTGCTCCTTGCTAAATATATTTTACATACTTACTCACACACGCGCGCACATTTGCATGGACAAACAAGCACACATTCGCACACATGCTTAGGCAGGGTGTGAGTCATGTCCCATCTAAGTGTGGCTTATTTGCCATGCTGCTGTGAACAGAAATAGGAAAGAGGCAAAGAAATCTAAATGTCTCTCTCGTTTTTTCGGACTCTCTCTCCCCCTACCCTTCCTTGTCTGACAAAAAGAGAGAGGGGAGACAGGAAGAAAGAAGACGGCATGAGAACTGACATGCACATGGAGAAACAGTGAGGCTGACAAAGACAGAAGATGAAGCAGGGAGAATAACAGCGAGTGCAGGGGTTGAGAGACACTTGACCGTCTCTCCCTCTCACACATGGTAGAGGACAGCTGCTGGGGACACCACTGTTGGTCTCTATATTAAGCTCAGAGGATTGGTCATGCACACACGCTAACTTGCTTAAGTCTTTTTTTTTTTTGTTCAACCCACTGAAACTTGTCCTAACCAAATCCTAACCCTGAAATTTAATGGTTTGGCTTTTTGCCCCCAGTGGAAGGTCCCCAGGTCCTAGAGTTTGTGACTTAGGTCCCCACAATGCTGTTAAGACAAAATCCAAGACAAAATTTATAAACCCTACATGAGCACAGAGACGCGTGCACTCAAACTAATCTTAGCACAAACATCTCACTGTTGTCAGACATACGCTGATGTCCACACACACCAGCTGCTATGTCCATTTGGTTGGGGGTGTGTGTGTGTGTGTGTGRGTGTGTGTGTGTGTGTGTGTGTGTGTGTGTGTGTGTGTGTGTGTGTGTGTGTGTTAAGCCTACACATGAGTGAATTTATCTTTCTGAGTTACAGGCGTTTGAGTAGTTACTCTCCCACCCCCGGGCACCCATTAACATTTAGCCTCCCACAGTGCAGCAGCAGAGTATGGGAGATTTCCAGGAATCAATGCTTTTGAGAGAAAATGAGAGCAAGAGACATGATGAGAGACAGTGAATTAGAGGTAAAAAAAAAAAAAAAAACGACAAAGAGAGAAGGAGAGTGAGCAGATGTGATGCCTGTGATATTTCCAGGAAACCTCGTTTAACACGAATCCACCTCACCACTCCACAAAATATCTGTTTAATCTAATGCATATTTCTCGAAACGATCAAATGTGGCTTAAACATTAAAATGCCAGGTCAGTAATCGCAATGCGAGAGGTCAGCAGAAATATAACGAAGCTCATTTCTCGGCAAATAGGTTTCCTGGAGGCCGTAAAGTGAAGCTGGCAGCAGGCTGAAACACGTGGGTTCGGAACAAGGACGTCCACAGTTTTATTCAGTAGCAGATCTAGCTGAGGCAAAACAACAGAGGAGCAATCCCTCATAGCTCGAACCAAAAAAAAAAGAGGGTAAAGATTTACCTTTTCAAATGGAGCTGCTCAAAGCGACAAATATCAATGAAAACAACAATTTTTTTTAGCTTTTTTATAGCAATGCTTCGTTTCTAATAAACACAGATCAAGATGTTCACACCCGACGGTTGCCAGGTTTGCTTTTGGCAGGTGTAGCTGAACTTCTGATCACACACTTTTTTTTCACATTTCACACAGTCTTTGAAACAGCAGTTTCTTTACTTGCTTGTAAATATATTGTTTAAATTTTGGTTCACTTGTAATCTCTCTCTCTACCTCTCTCAAATTTTCTGCTGAGCTGGAACTCGTGAAGGAAACTTTATCCTTTTCATTTTTATCCCTCTGTGACATCGCCATGATCTCTGCTGATTACACATTTATTAAATACATCACTGCATCTCACTCCACCCTGACCAAACCGCCTCACTGAAATGAAATCATGATTCTGAGCCAACTCCAAACAATGTAACCGGGAAAAATATGGTATATTCATTACTGGTGTCAAAGCTTGTATCAAAATCACCTATGAATACTCTCTCACTATCAACAGCTCCATGCTCTACTTCCCACACAACTGCAACCTTGAAGTAATCTTTGGAAGTAACCTCTCTTTGAACTCCAAGATGTACACTATATCAACCCTGAAACTTAATACCCCATGCAATTTAATGTTCTGCAAGTGTGTGTCACTCACCATGGGAAATAGTTGATCCGTACCCTGTTCTTGAAAACCACAATGCCAGCGGACATCACCCCGATGAGAATCTCTGTGTTGCTCTGGTCCTGCAGAGAGGGGAACACCGTGTATTAAGGAGTGTGTGTGTTTAGTGAAGGTGACAGCGGGGGAGTAGAGCCTAACGGGACAAACAGAGAGCGGGAGAGTACAACAGCACCAAGACATTTTTGGACAGGGCTCCTCGCTGCTACAAAACATGCTGAGGTCGCTGAAAACAAACCTGCCTCAAACCAAGAGAAGAGGTTAAAGAGATGCCCTAAGAAAACACACACAGACGTAAATAAGAATCTGCAGGGGATAAGAATAGAGTCTGTGAGGAGGGGTTTGGGCCAGTGTGAAATTAACATCTATAGTAAACAAGCTGTTGTGCAACATGTTTAAACTTTTGTCCTGATTGATGCTCTAATTCAGAAATGTCGTTCTATTGAATATACAGTAGACTGGTGCTGCCTGTGATAGTGATGATGACTGAATCCTGACATGTTTTTCTGGTGCTGCTTGAAGAAGAAAATGAAACTTAATAAAAAATCATGAACAGACTAAACTGGAAAACCAGCCTAAACTCTGGTTCCTCCACTGCCAGAGTAGCTATAGGTTCGATGTTGTATTTAAAATTAATGAATATTTCACATTTTAAGTTAACAACTATGTTAATTTGTACAAACTGCTTAAAAAATTTAATATAAAAAAAGAAACACATGACTTGCTGTTTGCTGTCAGGTTATAAGCATCTTTACATCATCAGGTCATTATGGTTGAACACAAGGTCAGACACCAGTGTTTACTAGTGAAAGTTCAAGCTTCACCGTAGCACATTGGGCAGATTAGAGAGGTAGTCATTGAGCTTCATCTCATCACGTTTTCATTAGTTAGTCAGCAGGAATATGCAAAAACTACTGGAATGATTACCACGAAACTTGGTGGACGGATGTGGCATAGGTCAAGGAAGAACCCATTACATTTTGGTGCAGATCTGGATCAGGGGGATCCAGGAATACATTTTCCCTCTCTTTAACATTGTGAGATAGGCCTTTTCAACGTTTTGCTGATTTCCCAGAGAATAATTCATGGATCTTGACTAAAAAATCAGTGACTGATTGTGTGCAACTGAGCATGTGCAATTTGGTGCCGAACTAAATAAATATTGAGAATTTAAATGTGGTTTCATAATGGGACTGTGCTGGGCTCCGTATGTTGCTAGTGGAATGAAAACAGTGTCATGTTAACCTTGATGTGAAGGTGGGGGAGGAACAATCTTTAACATTTTGGGACACCATGATATTAATTTAAATCACACATGTTGGAGGTGGATATTGATTTGGTTACCTTGCAACACACACACACACACACACACACACACACACACACACACACACAC